TAAGAAATAAATGTACGGCATCACAAATAATTTTTATGCATTTAAATAAATATTGCGTTTAAGAAGACAAATTTCTAACAGACTATATTTTTAATATATTTTTACAATAATATATTTTCTTGTATAGATAAAGAACTATGAGCATCGCTCCTAATGTAAGTGCATACTATTTTTCATTTATCCAAAACAAAATCGACAAAGTCATTCTTTGTTCGTCTACATTATAAGATAACAAAATACTCCTACATAGATAAAAGTATCAAATATCTCCGCGATTTTACTTGCAAATCTAACATAATTCGTTAATCTTTTCATGAGTAAGTATGGTAGTCTCGATATCTTGATAGTACGCTATTTGGTTAAATCTCTTTAGATTATCAAAGTTATTTTACATTATAATTAATCAAGGCAGGGAAAATATAATAGGATTGCATAGCCTACGGTAGATTTTCTCAAGTTCTTACTGATTGATTAAAATTCAAATTGGTCTTTGGATGAAAATCCTCATTATCATATATATATATAAAGTGTAAGATTTTATTTGAAAATAGGGAATCGACGAAAACTTAAATTATTATATTTTATTTAACGAACTTTTTTCTTTTCACAATAAAATGAAAAAACAAAATTTTATATAAAAACAAATGGTTATCATGTTGAATTCGATTATGTCTTATCCGTTATTAGATTACTAAAACATAATATAAATATTACTTGAATGTTATTCAGACATATATGATTATAAATTAATTAACTCACTCATAAATTAAATTTAATATCTTAATTATTACGATATATTAATGTTATATTTACATTATAGTTTAGAAATATCTTCGAGTGCCCATTTTTTCAGTTTAATCGTGAAATTTAATCCTAAAGTGTATTATTCTACGATTTTAAGCTATGGCCTAAATGAAAGAATATCATTTTTTTTTTAATAAAATAAGGAAAAAAGTGTGTTAAGAATTAAGAACTCGTTTCAAAATTAAGAAATTTTTGGTCTGAAATGTATATTTGGTTCTCTTTTCTTAATGAAAAATCTTCCGTACCTCTATTTCCAATTAATAAAACCATTACATGAAATAATAACAAACTAAATTCCATGATCCATGAATATTACATATTGATATTGCTGGTATGTAAATTTTTTGTCATTATAAAAATATTCAAATACATTTTATGATTTTAGATTTTCAAATAATGGTATGTATAATGGTAATATGTATAGAATTTGTAAAACTTAACGTTACAAGTACTCTAGTGATTGGATTGAAATTTGTAAGCATAATGCATTAGACACCTAAAGCCTTGGATTATAATGATTTCAGTTGAAATGAAAATAAAATAAAATTAAAATAATACATGAATCAATTTAATTCCGAGATCAAATATATTCTTTCTATTAAATAAAAATTATTAACAACATAATCTGATTTAAAATTCCAAGTCTATCACTACCATTCATTAATTACTTAATTACTTAATTTCACACATCAATAAGAAAAAGTTAAATCTAACAAAGTACTATTTATATATTTGAAGGGAAATTGGGATTTTACATGGATCATTTATTTATAATATTTATAGCAGTTGTGACGAATTATTATTATTATATGCTATATGGTAATACGAGATATTAATTAAGTAAAATTTCAAAGCATAAAATTGAATATTTATACGCTTATATGTGTCACATAATTTTGTAAAATAATTCTCTAACCTATATGGTCGTTAATAATTATTAGAACTAGTAATTATTTATTAAAACGAGAAATTAACGCACGTCTTTTTATTTTAAACTATCTAGAAATTCTGCATTAACTGAACAAATAATAAATAAAGATAAATTACGTTCGAGACAATAAAAATGGCTTGATAAAAAGAATAAACCTCTGTACGCATTAATTACAAAAAAATTAGGTTACGAAAACTAATTTCTATTATTATAAATAAAAATTGTATTATCAATTAACATTGTCTGGCGCAACTATGCGAAATTTTTTAAAAATTTACGTTTACATAATAGTAGAATATCACTAAAAGGAAGAATAAATATAAATCATTTATTTACAAATATTTTATTAATTTATTTTCCCTTTTCTAGTACTTTTTTACAATATCATATGTACATTATTTTATTTGTAAAATTAAAAATACAAGGTCATATATATATATATATATATATATATATATATATATATATCACAATGGTATAATAAATTGAATTTATTTATTAAAAGCAAAATGACGAATTGGCTTTTATTACTAATCAAATAAATAAACAATTGCATTTATAATATATTATTTATAATTACTTATATGTATATTTAATTTAATCTCCCATGTAGTTCAATATATTTCCTACACTTGCAGGTATGAGCAAATGGAAAAATATCATCGACGAATTGATAAGCGCCCAGTATCCCACGGCTGCCCGTATAAATTTGTTATACGATGAAAACTTCAATATCGTTGCTGATTTAATAATCGATCGCAGTACCTAAAAAAACTTTTCACGACTTTCTTCTGTAAAATACAGGAAAACAAGTGAAAAGGCCAAAAGCATCTTAAAGAAGGGTGAGATATCTTCATCTTCTTTGATAAATTTCAAAATTCGAAATTAAAATTAAAAACAGAATTTCTATTTACAATAAAAAAATTGAGTGAATCAATTTAATTAAATATCTGTAATTATTATTTTTTTTTTTTTTAATTTTCACACATATTTTTATACAAATATACTGTAAATATTCACTTTAAGGTGAAATCTTGAAAACAAACTTCTTTCCCTTCTTAGAATCTCAACAAGAGGGAGAACAATTATGTTGCATATTTTCAAAGATTCAAAGACTTTAAATTAATGTATTGTAATGTAATATTGTAATCATTATTAAGTAATATTGAAATCAAGATATTATTTTGTTAATCTATTGAGTGGTTTTAAGAGCACAGAAGCGTATCGAAATGGAAAAAAAAGAGTTATAAGAAAAAATATGAGCATAAAAGCAGCTATAAAGAATGGTTTTAAATGTTTATATGGCTCGTATAACTTGTATTGAGTTAATAAATAAAAAATTTGATAGCTGATCTGATTCTATTATGTTTTGATTTTGTATAGAGGGGAAGAAATTGTCATCGTTGTATGATAATTCCAATGCTTCTATAGATTTACACGAAATATCAATATTCTGCCTTTGTCTGGTAATTCGTTAAATTCAAGACAAAAGACTTATAAGAAATAATACGTACAACTGAAATTATATATACAACTGATTGTAAGACAGAAAAGTTTCGATAACCCAGAAAATAATGTCACTGATACCATAAATGAGCATATAAACCTTTATTACACAAGTCAATTGTATTATTGTCTATTTTTAAAAATGTTATAAAGTAGTAAAGAATGATAATTATAATATATTGATTTATTGATGTTATTGATATCAAAAACATTTTTCATTATACGATGATGCGATTAACTTTTATCGCGATCGTTATAATTTATGGTAAAAATGATAACACTGTTGCAAATTTATTCAACTTTTGTTATTAAAGAAATACAAAGTTTAGGAAAAGTTAGTTGATTTTCTAAAAAAATTTAACTGCATTTTTTGTGTAATGAAGAGTCAAGTTTTAATAAAAAAAGAGGATTATTGATTTCAATAGAATTAGAATATCAAATAAGTAAAATCAATGAAATAATGATTATTAATATTACACACATCATTTCTAAAAAGTATTTCGTTTAAATTGCGTACAATTTATTTATTTTATTAAGAGTATTGCCTTTTATGCGATAGTTAAAAAAATTTCACTAACATTTTATCACCAAATAAAAAGTTATTAAACTTGAATAGAGTTGGCTAGCACAATAGCAATAAAACATTATTGGTTTATATTTTTGAAGATAAAAGAAAATTAAATTTTTTTGAACTGTCGTAACTATTACGCAGAAAAAAATCATTTGATTGCTAATGTATTATGTTACTAAAAATTTTTATTATTATATTAAAATAATAAAAATTACAAAGTTTATTACCATTTTTATTAATTAATTAATTAGAATAACTATTTGTAATTTATCAATATATTATAAAGTATTCGTAGGCGTATATTTGTGTAAATATTTTTCTCGATACTTTTTCGCTTTATTGTGCACGATATTATCATCCTTAGCATATATTTTAAAAATAATTTTTCTAATCTAATTACACAAAGCATACTTTTTTACATATACGCGATTTTTATAACAATTTATTTCTATATGAAACATAATCTCAAAGCAATTAGAGCCTAAACAATCTCATTATATAATTTAATAAGTATTTACATAAAATCAATTATTATGCGGAAAATCATTGTCGTATAAATTTAATTGATTGACAATGAACAATTTATTGTTAAAACTAGTGCTTGAATTAATTTTATTTCTAACTAAAAAATTTAATTATTATTTTCGATATCTAAGAATTTCCATATAACTCTGTTTTTTTTTATATATTTATATTTTTATATTTTTTATAAATAAATAAATCTATTATAAGAATTTTAATGTTAGAAGTAATATTTTTAAAAATACGCTTTTAAATATTGGAGAAAGTGTCGTTGGTCTTTTACACAGATGTGGGCGTTTTGTATTGCGATACGAGTTTATTGAAATGGGGGTGCCGCGAGGATCAGCCGAAGCTTTATTCAATATTAAAAATTATATCTAAACTCAAGGTGATAAGAAAGCATTAAAGAGTTTAAAAACAAGAAAAAGAAAAGTAACGTAGAACTAGTAAAACCATACCAAAAAGTCCAATAACTTCAAAGTTGGAACTAACGCAATTTATCGATTTTCCGTGCGTAAAAAGTAGGAAAATATAGGCAGTAAGAGAGAAAAAACTTGTATAAAAAAGCATTGCGAGAAGGCCACCGTCTATTCATTGGACGCAAAAGAGGATTGGGAAGGAAGAGGCAAAGAAGGTGGAGGTGGAGGTGGAGGAGGAGGAGGAGGTGGAGGAGGAGGAGGAGGAGGAGAAAGAAGAGGAGGAGAGGAAAGAACAAGAGATCATGGGCTCGCTTCCGAATCTCCACGAGCTCTCACGGGAGAAGCTCTCGAGCCCTGTGCACAGGCCTGCCCCCGTGGGAGATTTCGGCCCCGTGAGACTGCCGCCCCAGCCGCCACCCCTCGCCTACACGCACAAACGCGCCAGGAGCAGCGGCCACCACCACCACACCACTCAGCTCTGGGACAACGATGTCATGCTCGAGGTGAGCTACCCCCTGGCCCGTATTACCATCCCCCCCCCCTCCACTCCTAACCCCAATAGCCCGACCGCGAAGCCTGTCGGACTTGTTACTGCCACTCCCTAATCCCATCGGCCGGGATTCTTAAATAAGTTATGCCATTGAAAAAGAAGACCTTGGGTTACGCGGTAATGTATTAGGAATTTTCTAGCTGACCACGTCGGGGCTACTTTGCTGTTCTTGCGCGCAACGTCACATGAGAAATTGAAAGAGCGAACGTTATATTTAAAAGCCATTGATATCCAGTATTCAGGATGCTTCCGACTTACCGAAGATACGATCTTTAAGGATTATTATTGGCTTCCTTACAAATCAATTGGAGTACATTATGTGCCCCACGTACAGGATCCAAGTGCGGACACTTGTTCAAAATATTAATAATGAAGCTCGAATAAATTTGCCGAATCATCATTATGAGAATCGAATGAACGGTGCATTATCGAAAGATATTTGAATTTCCGTGTCAAGTAAATTTCAACTATATTTTACTATTTAGATACTTATGAAATAAGCGACTCGATCGAAGCGACAATAGAATTCTTTTGATACATTCATAATCAAACGCTGCAACATTAGAATTTTTTTAATTATCACTTGTTCGATTATTATATTTCTGTAGACATTAATTATCTATGCTTTATTAGCAGAAAATATTTAAGAAAATTATTCCTTCATAAAGAGCATAAAATTTAAATAATAAAAGTTTAAATAACATTCAGAGTAAATTATTTTCGCCAATTACATTTTGTATCCTAGATATTGTTTTACTTATTAACTACTCTCACGGTACTTTTTATATATTTATGTAAATATCTGAATTATATATTTGCATATTTCATTTTGAATCGGTAAATCTTAATTGATAATTCGTAATTCGTTCATTCTCATATTAAAAAAATTTCCGTTAATAATTATTTTATAGGTAATTTCCTTATATTTTATAACCCAAGCTGATATACGGTTATTTAAAATTTTGCGAAACCAAGCATATAAATTGACTAATCTAATAATACAATTCGTATTCCGCCATTAAATATGATATATTTCATATGCTGTTACACAATTTATCTAATCATACATCATACGCCTATGGTTTTTATATAATTCAAAGATATGCTATCATATTTTTTTGCTAAAAGAATGTATTTTAAGAATATACTTTTATATTTATTTTCGAATCAAAAATTAACATCTACAGTACATAATTTTTCATCAATTATTTATAACTAAATTTTATTTATTGTAGTATTAAAATCATTATTTAATGTAAGTGCATAATACATAATGAAGAAAAATTAAAATATTGTTTTCAATTAATCCTTGAAACTCTTTTAACGCTCTTTAAACAAAAATTATAACTTTCAGAATTAATATTACTAAATACGAAAATCAATATTAATTTGCATAAAATTAAAATGTATATTAAACGAGCATCTATTTTATTGAATAATTAATCACAAAAATCAACTAACACGTACATCATGACTTTTTTCAATTAATCATGTGTATCCTACGAGTAATAATTTCAAACCTTAATTATTATACAGGAGGTTAAAACTGTAATACAGTTTATTAATTTATGAAACCAAACTATACCATATATAGAACTGAAGTATATAATGTAAAAGTTAGAACTTTACAAAATTTAAATAGCGAAATTGTCTGTTATATAGAATTGCAGCTATATAATCATAATTCATTTTAGAAACTCGATAATATGAAATTCAGTACTGTATTGAAACATAATTATTATGATATAAAACACATCCTTTGACGAAATTTCAATTATGTAGTAGAGCGAAAATTGAAATAAATATTGATAATCAGCAGAAAATATGCTTTGACTATAGAAAATTCAATTTTTATTAATAGGGTTTATCGTTTGGCGGGTTGGGGTGGGTGGGGGAGGAAGGGTAATGATTTATTTCAATTGCATCATTTTATATAAAATTCATATTCTTATATGGATAATCAGCAATATCGCAAAGATAATATTTTGCAAAATATACCTATTGAATAATTATAGCCTGCAGTGTGCAAAACTCCTAAGGGTCTCCCGAGAAAAAATAAATAACAACTCGAGAGCTCAAAGTCTTGAAGAATATCTTCTTCCAAATGTATTGTAACCTCAAATCATTAAGTGAAAAAAAAAACAGTTATCAAACAATAAAAGCTTCGATCGTTAAAAATAATTTATAGCTCGTTCTGCAAATCGCACCTTTAATCCTTGATCATCGTATGCCACTTTTCTGTCGCCTGTTAATACCACGAATACTCTTCATAATTCAACTCAAGCTTGTCCATTTTTACTTTTTATGATACACCTGTCCGTCCATAAAGGTGCAAAGGATAGACAAGCGTTACGGATCGATTTTTATCCGATTGCGCACAAAGCATAAAAAGTAGACGCCGCTTTGATTCATGCGCAAGCTGAAAGTCACTCATTAATGAATCCGTTATGAATATTTCTGTTATGAAATGTTGATCATTGATAAAAGTAATGGACTTTTCAATATCTTACTTTTAATCCATTGTAGGCAAACAATTGCCACTATATTTACTAATCTTGATGAAACAATTACGCTATTCATTGTAGTTGTGATTATTATTATTATTATTATTATTATTATTATTGTTGTTGTTGTTGTTGTTGTTGTTGTTATTATTGTTATTATCGTTATAATAATCGTTATAAAATCTTGTTTTTAATGACATTTTTATTATAATTGTGAATTTTCCTTATATCGTTTTAGAATATTGATTTAAATAGGACTATTGTTGTTAATAAATAACAAAATTATTTTATTTTAATAAAAGTAAAAAAGGTCAAAAAAAAAAAAAAAAAATCGGCTACAAATGTATTCAATATTTTATAAGAAATTTTTAATATTAATAAAAAAATTTACGGTATTAATTAAAACCATAAAAAATGTTTACAACCCAATCAAATTTAATTATAAAAATTTTTAATTCAATTGCTCTGTTATTTTAAGGATTATAAACCACCGGTAATACGAGGAGTAATACGAAGTTAAGGATTGTATACCACAAGGAAATTAGGAAGAATAGTAGTTATCAACAAAACAAGGAGTAATTGTAACTGCAAATTGCTCTGAAATATTACGAAAATAATTTTTCATTCAATTTTCAGAGATTTAAAATCTATAAATAAAGTAAGAAATTATTCAAATAGTTAAGCTTTAATCATTTTAAATTTATTAATTTTAATTCTAAACACAATGTGCATCCTTCGATATGTATGTTAAACATATTTTTATTCTTTTTACATTAAATTTTAGAGAAATAGTATATTTAATAATAAAGGTATTTTTTCTGATTGTTTAAGTAATAATTTCTGCTATTTCGAAAAAATAAATGTAGACTAAACTTACAATACTATTAAACGATTAAGCTGTTGTAAAAATTTTATATTTTAAATGAAAACCGTCGAATTTCTTACTTGATCCTGTAATTATAAATATATCATTTATTTATTTATTGTGTATATTATTTTATGCAGAGATTTTCAGTTCGAAAGGGCCAATCGTTAAAATTTTATAAAATTTTACTTTCACCATATGATAAATGAAATGTCAATTGTTTTTCAAAAACAAGGACGCGAATAAAAATATTTTAAAACTTATGAAAACATTTTAATCTGATAATAATTACACGATGTAATAAAGATTTTTTTTTTACAAAATTTAATGCGTATTAAGCTATGTGTAATGATTACACTCCCTATATCACAAATAAATGTATTTTATTAATTATCGGTGATGTTATTCGCAATTATTAGCAATGATCGTATCTCTCATGATATTATATCATTTAAAATGAGTAATGAAGTTATTTCTGTAGCCTTTAATGTTCCGATATTACATTATATGACAAATTGTTTTACAAAAATGCAAAAATATTCACGGAAATACTCCTTGAGTGCTCTATAAAATAACTTTTTCTCAAGATGAAATAATAAAAAAAAAACGGAATTTTAACATATCTATATTGTAAATTGTTTTATAATTATTTAGATATTCAGTTGTCCGAAGTATATGAGAAAAGTCATAAAGTCTTACTATAAAAAACTGTACTAATTAAAGATTAAAGTCTTATTAGACTTGAAATTTTTAAATTTAAGAAATTGGCTTAGAGTTTTCAAAATCTAAGATTATGCAATGTCTCAATATATTAATTAATTAATTATACACATTTATCAAATTATGTTAAAAAGTGAAAAAAAAAAAATTATTAAAATAGACTGTTAATTTAATACTTATAAAAGTGGCTTTAAGAATGTAGTGAAATGTTTGATTGAAATACAAAATTTTATGTACACAGTGCGAATAATAATTTATATAAATTTCAAATTTGGTTCTACATTAGTTAATCATATATTGTATATTATATTATGTTCTATAATTGTAAACATTCTATTCACTAATATAATTATCCAAGGATCCTACAATGATTTTACGAATAAAATTAATGGTGCATAATATTTATTATTATGAAATTATTATGAATGCCAGTGTGGGCGTGTGTTGAATTTGGATTGAAAAAAAAAAGAAATAATTTAGTTGTTCGATAAGGCTAATATGTTAATGACATACTTTGTTCGACATCGTTATCGCGTTAATAAGAATTTTTATATAAAATATTCGTCATTATAACCATTACATTAACTAAATATCAGGATTCATTTATGAAATCTCACTGTTTCATTCTAAATCGATATTATAATGAACCTACACTACCTACAGAAGCTAGACAAAACCTTACAAGAAAATGGCAAATATTTTAAGTTCTATATATGTATATGTTTAAAAATTCTATATATGTATATGCATAAAATGTATGTATGTATAAGATGCTGGAGGTCGAGGAGTTTGGCGATGCAAGGGAGTAAACACGGTTTTTTTTTCTTTCGCTTTTTTTCTTTTTTTTTTTTTTTTTCAACATCGACCGCTTTCGTTGTCGTAAGAGGGGCAGTCCAAAGCGACATCGCAAGCTCCTTGCGACGCACTACAATCAAAGAATGGCCGGCAGTGATAATAAAGACAAGGACTTCCCACAGCACATGGCGACGTATTCGCCGATCTCCTGCCGCTCAGCCCGTACCTCGGCTCTCTCTTGGCGCCGCCGGGATTCCATGAGCTCATCGGCGGGCGCCTCCTCGGTGCGGCGACTGATCGCGACCGTGCGGGCTGCCCCGTCGGGACCTAGGCCCCCGAAGAAGGCGGTGCTGCGCCACTGCGCGGCCGTGCTCCTGGGCCACGCGAGCTGGTCAGCGGCGACACTGCCGATGTTCCCGCTCCAGGCGGGCCTCGGTGTCTTCGAGCCACAACTGGGCCCGGTGCTGTTGGCTCTTCTCTTTGCCGCCGCGACCCTCGCCAGCTGTTTCGCCCCAATCATCACACAGAAGCTCGGCACGAACCTCGTCATCTCCATCGGCCACCTCATCACCGTCCTCTTCGTCGGTGTGCACCTCTATCCCAAGTACGATCCATATCTCTCTCTCTCTCTCTCTCTCTCTCTCTCTCTGAGTGTGTGTGTGTGTGTGTGCGCGCGCGCGTGCGTGTCTGTGTGTGTGTGATGGGTGCGCGCGTGCGTGCGTGTGCGCGCGCGCGTATGTAATCATAAGAGGCATGGAATACTATGGAAAGTCTTATCTTCGTTAATGGGACGCTGAATTTTACTAACGTTAGACATTATTGTTAATTATTAAAAATTAGGATGAATATTGCTGGAATTCGAAATTTATCAATTTGAACAGTGAACTTTTCGGGTAAATTGCTATTATAGAGTTGCTCTATGTACCATACTTATGAATATCATTTGTATTCAAATGTAAAATTTGCATAAAATGTAACTCCCTTGGTATTAGGGGAATATTAAACACTTCATACTTTGAACAGTATTGGATAAAATATTTAGAATTACAGTTACATCTCTATAAAGTTTATAACATTATCATAATTGTTTTAATGAGATTTAAATTTTCATCACTACTCCGCTTATAATGTTTATTCCAAATCGGATGGAATATCCTATCAAAATTAAAAATATCACGACTTTTCTAAGTCGTTAATGCGCGTTCGCAGTAAAGTCTAGCGTGAAAAATATGCATTTAGTGGAAAAATTGCGTTAAGTGAAAGGTCCCTTTTGGAATACCCAATTCCCGTAGCACCGATAAAACTTTTATATAATTTTAGCCTTTGGTAATTAATGATAACGTGCATGCACTTCCAAGCAGATAGCCAACAGTTCGCCAGTAATTTCGCAATATTATGCAGCTCGCGCAGATAGAAAGAAAGGACTGGAATAAAATCGTCCTACTTAACGGACGAGCGGACTGTCGTTGATCGAACAATAGTGAAATATAAACAAGGAAAACCATTTGAACTTTACAGGTGGTACATATTATTGCCAAGTTACGCGCTGTTAGGTGTCTGGATGAGTCCGAGCTTCCTGGCCCGCACCGCCCACGTCAACATCTCGGCGACGAGTCTTGGACTCGTGTGCTCCGATCCAGAGGACCCGGATGAGACTAGACGCGATTGCATCCTTAGACGACTTAGTCGGGGCATCAAACTTGCCGAGGATATAGGTCTCGCCTTCGGTTGGTATTACCTTTTTTTATATCTTGGATATTAGTTTTCCGTCAACTTTTCAGTTTGTCGTGCGTTCCCTCCATTTCTAGAACTTTGTTTTTATTCAAAGCTCAGACGGTAAAGAGCTTATCGTTTAAGTTAATCTCGTGTAATGTGATCGAATATAAAATAGTTCCTTATTTAAAGTATAAAATCAATAATCCAAAAGAGTAATAATTCTTAATATTAATATTATAAATTGCCTTTTTTTCTCTTACGAATATGTCCACTCTTTATTCGTGAATGTTTTAGTATAATAATTAATATATTTTACGATGATAGAATGCTTCGGATAAATAGATATTCGTATGTAAGTTACAAGTATTTATTATTCGTAAAAATGACAAGATTTATTAGCATTAATAATAAATTAAAAATAAACATTGAGTTAATTTGGAACGTCTCACTACGACTTTCTTTATAAAAAATCTTTATAATACTTATGATAGAACTGTAAGTTAGTAGAAGGAGAAAAAAAAATGTACTTAATCATATTGATCGTTAACTTTATTGTATTTACTAGTAAGTAAAATAATCGCTGATTATTATTATAAATATCATCGACGTTATTAAAAGCTAAACGGAGAATAGAGAAAGTGTGGCAAAAGCGCAATAAATACATAATCTATTTATCCGTGTTAAAGTAGCAACACTCGTTTAGATGTTATGCAGCTAGATTTTCATTTTATTTAATGAGAAATCTAGTACGCTGCACGTGGATCAAATACAAAAATAAAAGCCAATGATAAGCTTGATAATAAATAGTAAAGTCGCGCGTAGTAAAATGTTTTGAAATATTAATGCCGAGAGAGGACTTTCAGCCAACCTAAATTAACCATGTTGAACGAAACTCGGCTATTATAACTCAAACCACTAAGACGCTCGTGACTCAACTATATATTAAGATTTAATAGGCATTGGGTATTGAATTTGTGGGGATACGAGGGGGCGATGAGCGAATATACAGGCTACATTGCCGAAAGTGTCGGAGAAAATAAAAGAGGAAATATGGCTCAGGCTGTTTCGTGGCCTCGCTGCTGATAAAGATAACAGAGACGTCGTCACCCGGAGGGATGAGGGAGGGCGAAATCGAGGACATATGCGGCGCCGAGTATTGCCCCGAGGAGAGGTATTTGTTCAACGAGACGCTGCTTCTGCCGACAATGGCGGCCAACACCTCGAGGATGGTCGTGACCGTTTGGTTAGGCTTGGCGGTGCTCGCCTTCAGCATATCCTGCGCCTTCCTCGACGGCCGCATGAAGGAGCCTCAGGGGGTGCACGATCGTCTCAGCAGCGAGGCCATCCTCAAGTCCGTCAAGTGCGCTTTTCAGGACCCGAAGATGCAGCTCGCCACGCCGCTTACTCTTTTCATTGGACTCGAGCAGGGCTTCATATTCGCTGACTTCACCGAAGTGAGCCTATACTTTTTATCTTTATCCTTGTGTTTGCGTGGGTCGTGTGGACGATGGGCGGTTGAAATCTTGGAGAGTAGCGAGTAGAATGGCTTTGACTAAGCATTCTACTGACGAATATTGACAACGGTAATATCGTGTATCCAAAGTCCAAAATACTTTATTACATTCTTATCCAAGTCCAGGACTTATTTTTCTATACATTTTCTTATACGTTGTCTACGTTGACGTAAATTTAAATATTTTTCTTCGTAAAAAAAATTCGTCATTTCTCGCCCGCTACCACCTTGCTCACTACTATTTATATTGTAAGAATAATTTCCATTTTGTTTTTTCACGCAAGTAAATTAAATATATAATTCAGCTTAATGCTCGTTAACGAGGCATTATGTATATTAATTTCTTATAGTCGCATCTGTATTCAAGCTTCTCGACACTTAATTTCTCATATCAACATATAATTAGATCGACATAATCCATATGTATTTGTAAATTAATTTTAACGAATAACCTAGTTTTCATAGTATTATTAACACTTGAGCCAAATTCAATATATTGTGTCGAGTTAATTTAACTTTCTCACCAACTCATGAGCTATAATTATCCTCTATTAACACGCATCATATTCATAACTCGTTCACGTCATATTTTCCATTAAAGTGCATAGAATCTTTAATTTGCTCGAAAACTTGAACATGTTAATTAGACTGAGACAATTGTGTCTTAATAATAATCGCGGTAGATTAACAATAGGAGGTAATTTATTAGGACTGTTTGAGATTCACAGTAAATTAAAACTGGCTGACGCGCTAAAGCCATTATTATTCAAATCGAGTTTGGAATGAGGATATTAGGATTCGAGCATACCAATAGAAAGGGAGATCCTTTAACTGCTAAATCTCGAGTACTATCGCGCGCAGATGATCTAAATTTAGTGAAAGATAACAAAGAAAGCTACTGATCTAACCCTATTCAGGATACATAAACTAGAAATTAGAATATGTTTTAATACAATCATAAACGGTATAAATGAAAGTTAAACTAATAATTACAAACAATCTATATTATTAATAAAATGCCAACCTATCGGAAGTTAGACTCCCGAAACAATAAATTGAAAAGTAAAATTACTATTGAGTTAAATATACTATTGGGAAGGGCGAGGAGGGACGACGGGTGTCGGGATGTCGGGATGTCGGGATGTCGGGGTGTGGGGAGTGGGGAGTGGGGAGTGGGGATGTGGGGGGGGGGGGGGGGGGGGGGGGGGGGGGGGGGGGTATTGAATACGAAATAGAGATTAAATAAATAGAATATTACGGGATTATAAGATAAACTCTATAATTCGCCCAATATTATTAAAGTAATTAAATCATGCTGATTAAGATTGGTTGAGTATGTGGCTAGAATAGAAAATTAAAGTGCAGCTTATAGGGATTGAGTAGAAAATCCGGCAAGTAAATGATCTTTTATATAAATACGTCAAAAGCATAGAGATAATATTAATAGGATTTGAGAGAAGTAAAGTGTAATCAAGTACCGTGGGCACATTTGACTTAAATTAAGCGAAAGTAATATACATTCGTATTGATAAGATTATAATCTCCTAAGTCTTTAATACTAAATAAAGTTGATGATGATGGCATAATAATATGTGTATTCATATAATAAGAATATTCTGTCATTAGGAGAATACGAAGGGACAAGATTAAATAAAATACTCGTAGAAATATTTTTACCAAAATTGCATGAGCCAATATTTTATGAATAACAATAAAGATTTGGTGGATGTTATCTCGTAATATTATACACATCATTATTTTGTCAAAAGCATTTGGCAATTCCACTTCATTTCCATAGCAGAAATTTGATTGATTTGGTGTTGGTGTCTGAATAAAATAATTGTACTTCTAGTTATTCATTTAATAAAAGCTTTATTGAAAGATGCGCGAATAAATTGTTCGCTTTGGTAAATAACGGACGGATACGATATCCGATTAACAAAACGTCTTTATTAACTAATAATTTTTCACATTATTAATACCTACACGAAGAATGCTTGTATAAAAACGACAAGACTCCATACTAAGCAGACATCATAAATAATCATTGATATAACTGAAATGCATTAATATCTCATTTATCATTTACTCTCTGTCTGTCTGTCTCTCTCTCTCTCTCTCTCTCTCTCTCTCTATCTCTCTCTCTCTCTCTCTATCTTAGAATGAGAACGTCAGAAATATATTATTTAGTTTTCACTGAACTCTGAATCTACTAAAATAATATAACCAACCGTATACAACGATTTTTATCGAGTCCCATAAGGGACAATACTGACACATTAAATTCTATCGTCAATTTTACCCAAACACGAAGATTTCGAACTCGTCTCTTCGTGAGCACGTAAAACCTTTTCTTTCTTTTTTTTTTCTTCTAAAACCAGTGCATGTAAGTGGAACACCCTTAACAGCGAAGTGAAAGATAAAGAAGAACCGTTTCCTTTTAGGCATACGTCGTGTGCGCATTAGGTGGTGCCGGCGCGGTGACTCTAAGCTTTTTGAACCTTGGATTACTCCAGGCTCTTGCCGGGGCGACGCTTTCCATGTTAATGAGGCACATCAAGCGGTACTTCGTTATTGGTAAGCTTTTTCATCTTGCAATCTTGAATGCTTCAACGATCGTTCATCGCTTCATCTACGTTTTGACAAATGTCCACGTTATTTTAATTGAAAATATCATAATTACCTCTCGCGAGCATTGTGGGCTTTTAGATTTAGTACAATGCCTTTACGGGCTTTCATTGTGAAAATGTGCTTTTCACGAGCAGAAAGCAAAGAAATTCATAAAGCTAGCGGGGATCGATAAGATTGTGTAGTGAAGATTACACGAGTATAATAGTAGAGAAAATTTATTAATGTTATATCGATGCGAAAAATGTTAAAATGCTTATTTTGTTGAATAAACTTTTCGCGTCAATAGTAGGCCATTGCATATATCCAAATGTCGTGTGAACGTGTGAAAGGGCGCGTTCGTGAGTAAGCCGAGTGAAATTTAGTGAAATTTAGAAGTAACGTATGTAATGTTTTAAACCAGCCGTAGGTTTTGCCTTCCATGCCTGTCTACTACTGGTTCTGGTGACCTGGCGACCAGCGGGAGATGATCCTGCACTGTTTCACGTCATATCGGCCGCCTGGGGCGTTTGTAACGCTATTTGGGAAGTCCTTATATATAGTAAGTCCGTCGTCAAAGTATTAACGTGTAAAAGCGATAATATTGTTGTTGTTGTGTTGAGTTTCAAAGACTCGTGGGAATATCACAAAGACGTAAATAGTCAAGATCTTACAAGGAATTCGCTTGACGAGCGCTGTGGTTTCAAATATCGGTCAAACAATAAAATAATAATCGTTGCGTGTGAGCGGGAAAAGAGGTTGGGTGGGCGGTGGGGCGGGATGGGTTGCGAGAAAGGGAAGAGAACTTGTCACGAACGATAAATCGCAATGGAAAAGGAGAAAACCTAACGGTAGTACGTCAACAGCATTGCTGCTCGGTCTGCATCCAGGCGCGTGGCAGGGTCCAGTGGCAGTGTCGCTTTTTTGGCGCTGGTTGGGCCTCTCTCTGGCCCTGGGGCTTCACGGCCTCGTCTGCACTCGAGTGCGAGTCCTGGGGCTCGCTGCCATGCTGCTCCTCTCGGTGCTGCCTTACACTTGGCTTGAGATGCGACTGGCCAGGCGGGGCAAGTGTCTCGCGCCCTTGTGACCGCGCGAGACCCAGGCCCAGCAGCATCCCCAGAGCCGCCAAGCCTCGCAAAGAAGAAAGGGCTCTCACGCCGACTGAGTGAGGCTCGTTCCATCCGGGGCATGGAGGAAGGGAACTCGATCCAACAGCCTGAACGGCGGCAGAGCACAGCAGCGCCTGACGTATGCGCTCAGCCAGCCGAGCGTCAACGTGTTTGTCTGCCATACGGGAGACGCCGGCGCCGCCTATCGGGCTGATCACTGATTTATTCCATCGCGAATTACCGGCCGTTCGTTCGCCCAGCGACTTATCGTAACATTCAACCGTTCTACGTTTTAACGCGAGAGGATTTCATTTGCGTAACCGTTACAGCTATTCCATAATTTTCTACGGGTGAATATTTTAAGAAAATGCCGGATATCGATATTGAAATCCCTACCTTATCCACGCTTATTGTAACTACTGCAATACACGATTGGAGCAACGATAAAACACAAAATAAACGAATATTGTATCCTAAAAGCATCGATTGGTCTTACTAATAATATCTCGAATCTCTAATTAGCGCGACATTGTAAATTATACGTAAAATGACAAAGTTTATATTCTTTGTCATGGCAAAGAATATTATATTAATTCTTATTTACGTAATATATATTATATAAATTATGCTCATTCTACATAAACCTTGTAATGTATACACTTTTATTGATTATTATTTACAAAAAAATGCGATAAATAATGTAGGATGTTAGGATGTAGGACACACATATATATATATATATATATATATATATATATATATATATATATATATCGATATTCGGCATTATTGTTGCAAATATTAAGGTTTCTAAATAAATATCCAATATTAGCAGCGTATATTCTAACGTAAAAGAAAAAAAAACTGTTTCATTTTTTAAATGAAAACAAGTTATATAATTATCAACAACCTCCCGGAATGTTTGTTTCTCTCGATCATACATATACAAATAAATTAATATCTGTAGATGGTTAGGATCTGTAAACGATTAAACTATTTTTTATTCGCGGTAGTAGAACTTTTTTTTAATTTATTGTTTAATCTCGCCTATATTTTTTCATGTATTTCTCAAAATATATATCGAATATCGAAAGCAATGAAAAAAATAAAGATCTCAAATTATAATGAATTATGTAAATCGTGAATTTAAAGAAACAATAGTATTCATAAAAGTTATGAAAATCGTTATCGTTAAAAAAGAAAAAAAAGAAAAAGAATTATTATTTCTTCGGTATGCGTAAAATTGACATTTACTATCGGTTGATTAATTACTAATTAATTGATCTGCAATTAATCAATTTTAATATCGTAAAAATTGGTCTATATCTTTAGAAATTGTATGATTTTTCGAGTTCCGCTAGATGACAATGAATGCCAATTAATATAACCGAGAAATATTTGTATTAGCAATCTTGACAATTGTATCTAAAATACGTTTGAAATTTTATTTTAATATAATTATATTTAAATTAAATTATAAAAATAGCACAAATTATAAAAGTTCAATAAAACCCCCGATTGCACTTTTAATTGCATTTTTATTGTTAACTAATGTTATCGGTAAAATCGCGAAATATATGAAAGCTAAATATTATCTCTTAAATATAAAAGAAAATTATTTCTATGCGATCGATTATAATTCACAGAATAGAAATTTATGCGATGTCAGTGCCTGTACTAATCGAAATGGATCGAAATGTAATTTAATATTTCCCTGCAACTGGATGGAACGGCAATTCTGACATATATATAATATTAGCATAGATAAAAATGATAAATATATCGTTATCATATACTCAAAAATATAGAGAATAATAAGCGCTTGGCTAACAAAAGCCGCGATATAAAGTTTTTAATAGTACTAACTATAAGAAAATATATTGGATAAGAAATTTTAATGATTCTTTAAAGATATTTTTTTACTTTGTTATTTTTCTTCAATTTAATAGTAAGTATTTATTTTTCAATATGCAATCACAAGTAATTTATGCGGATACACTTTTGCGTTAACAATTATATAATTAGCAATTTTTTTTCTTTAACAAATTACCGTGTTATGTAAAATAAATTAAATATTCAAAATATCAATATATTTATGCTTACACTTAAAATACGTTTTTTGCCAAACTGAATTTAATTGTATTTATAAAATAAATAAAATTCACGAACAAATTTCAAGTTTTCATTAATCAGTTCGGTAATGAAATATATAAGAATTTCTCTAAGCAAAATATAAATAAATTTACATAATTTCAAAATAATTTTTTTCAAAGATTTTTTATATAATATATTCAAATAAATGATTTCCTAAACACGCAGGATACTTTTAAGAGTAAGAAAATATTTCATAATAATAAACATAAAATGTGTAGTTCTTTTCGCTTTGAGAGTTGATCGTACATGTGATAAATTATCGATTAATTTACTATAATAGATCACACTGCTATGCAAAAACAGATTTTATACTATTTTACATGCATAAAAAATATAATAAAGAGCACAGAATTATTTTTCATTAAAATTAATTAAATATAGTCATTATCTAATACAGGACTAAGGAACCGATCGAATTTTCATTCTTCCTAAATAGATTAAAAATATCGTCTATGTATATAAAAAAAAAAAAAAAAATGTTAATTAAATTAATTTTCAATATATCAATTATTATTACCTTTATTAATATAACGAAATGACGAGTGATTTAATAAAATGTTTGATACTACAATGTAACTTGATATTAACTTTTTTTAATAGCACTAATACAAAATTTAATATTCTACATTATATTAACCAAAAAAAGTGCTTGATACTTCAAATTATATTGTATAGATAATTATAGAAGTCAAAGGATGTCTCTGATTAGTTAAATATTGAATTTTTAAGCAATGAAAATTTTCTGTAGCCACACATAAACAAACAGGCATTCTTCTATTTACGAATTTCAATTTTAAAATATCCTACAGCTTATTAAATAAAGAAAATACTTATTTTTCAACTTAGATTGAAATATACGTGTGTTTCGAGTTAATACAATTCTATTAATATATTGGAAAAAAAATAGTGAATTTAAAAACGAACGTTTTCAATGTTTTGTATTTACAGACATGTATTCTGAAAATTTTATAAATATATTTATTTATTTATTAAAATAGTAACAAATTATGTTTTTAATCTACAGATATCTCGAAATAGTAAAATAATTATATAACTTTTTCTCATTGTTGACAATATTATTCATTAGTTGAAGCATTTGATTTTCACTAACTATATTATTAATACATGAATTACATAAATTATTTTAATTATATATATATTTTGTATTTGTTAACATATGAATTCAAATATTAAATGATTTTCTCTGCGTTCAATTCATGATATGCAGACATTTATTTAACAAAATTGAAAAAAAGTACAAACAACCTATTATCTACAAATAACTAGACGTTTAAATCAATTTCACAATTTATTTGGACATTGATCATTCGTACAATAAATAGCCAACAGATTACATATTCTAAATTTCTTACTTTAATATATCTGATAATGAATTTATGTATCAAGAAATGTATTCACTTTTTAATTTGATAAATGAACATAATAAACAATTCAAAATTATTTCCTGTATATTTTTTACTGTTTTATTCAATTCCACATTAGTATTTTGAATGATTGATGTCGAACGCCGCTAATATGAATTGAAAATAATTCCAATAGTGAATACAAGATGTCTGTAATTAAATTTAAACATAAGATATATAAATTGAATTTAATAGTTATTTATCTAATTATAATCATTAGAAATATTTTCATAAAGACGAATTCGTAATTATAATTATTAAACGGTTTATTTTTAAAATTAAAAATAATATGAAATAACTAAATGAAGATTATACGAACTAAACTAACGATTAAATTAATGACAAATAATGTTGCAAATTTATATTTGCATATATTGATGCGAATCCAAAATAATACATTGATTAAAATTTTTAATAAAAAATAATTAATTAACACTGAAAACAAATTTTTCTAAATCACTGTAATTGTTTTTCACTGTAATTATCAAATATTCGATCAAGAACTTTTCGTTTTCGATTTATAAAAAAGTATTTTATAATTTCTAAAATTTTCATGGTTATAAAATATTAAAAATATACTACATATATAAGCTATATTTAAATGTTTTATTATTAAAATATTTATATGAATAAAGTATCTGAAATTTATATTACTCTAAAAATTTGTATTGCTAATAACAAGTAATGAATTTTTTTAATTACTAGAATTCTTTAATCACTTATTAAAAATTCTAATTACGTTTATTTCATTAGGACAAAAATTAAATTAAATATTCATATAATAAATTTAATCTATTTAGTATTGATTCACTTTTAAAATAATCGATGTAATAAAGTAGTATTATATAATATACAATATCCATTAGGATCATTGAATCTATAAAAAAAAAAATAACCTAATTGATAATATATCCAATTACGAAAAAGAAAAGAAAATATGTTTTACAATTTCAGTTTCATATTTTACAATTTACATTATAGCTGATTCAAAATCAATGTATTTATGAAGAGTAAATGGTAATGTCTTGATTTAGATAAAATTATTAATAAACAGTTGTGTAAAATTTAACTGTATATATATAGATTATATTTCTGATAACGCGAAACATTAATATACACTATTACACGTCAGTCTATTACACTTTAATATATTTTCATTCATAAACGTTAATTTTCAACTACAAATCTTTTTGCTGCAACTTTAGAGATAAAGAATATAAAAAAAAAACAATATTTCCGATAAGATCTAATTTGTAATTCAAAAACTATAACAAAAATACATACTTTGTTATTAATTTTCTAACAACATGTAATATACTATAAAGTTTTAGTGAAGCACAAAAAAATATCCATACGATCATAGGGTTTAATAGTGATTTTTTTTAGAAAAAGTTTGTTCGTTACATGTATAAATCCTAAATACAGAGCTGTTGCACATTATTAATGATAATACTCATTTTTTAAATATTTTATACATGTATGTATGTATTTTATAAAGTAAATATAATTGTCAATTGATATCAATTATTACAATATGATTATATACTTTAATGCAATATGAAATAATTATTAAATATTTATATTATTCATAAGATAAATATCCTCCTTTTTAACATTATTACAGATAATCATTTGATTTATCTATTATTTATTAGTAACAAATAGATGCAAATGAAGTATAAGCTGTTGAAAATATATATGATACATATTTAATTACAACTGATAAAATAC